GAGCATAGGTGAATCTGGTTCATTGTTTCTTTATGAAGGAATCCTTGTGTGTTGCAACATTTTCACATAGAGTTGGTGTAACTTAGTTGGTTTAGTAATGGGCTATGTAGTGGGTGGCCGAGGAAATTGTGTTTGATTTGCAGCTGCAGCAAGATGTTTTTTCTCTTACTCAGAGTGCAGATTGGCTCTGGGGTTCACCCAGGTTCCTCTCTGATGGGTACCAGAGACTCTTTTCCCTGGGATAAAGTAGCTGAGGTGTGAAGCTGACCACCCACCGCCATTTAGTGCCAAAGTTAATGTGTGCAGCTGTACCCCCGCTCCCTGTTATGCCATTGTGATGTGGGGCATAACTAATTAAGAAAAGGGACTTTATCTTTACTTTTATGTTGACTCTATGCTACTTCTGGTATGGAGCAATATACCATACAAACACCCCCCTCCCCCCACCCTTTTATCTTCTGGTACCATTTTCAGTGGTTTGATGGGCATAAAGTGTCCAATCTTTTCTGTCTTCCATCCCTCTTTCCTTTTAAATTTATTTTGGGCATTTTCCACTCTTGCTGATATCTTCAAGTACCTACTTAACTATTTTGTTCTTGGTCATCCAACAGATGGCTCTGCTCTCAATTTTAATTCTGACATCATCATATATGGAATCAGGATCTCATTATGTCTAAATGCTCCTTATGATTGTGTTTTACAATAAATATGACTATTATTTTGGACTTGTCCATTGTCTTGAGTCCTTCCAAGCTCAACATTCTGGAAACCGGATCTGTTTCTGTCATCAGGTGTAAAAGGAGAAATGTTTCCTCTTCGCTTGCGACCATTGGATAGTCAGTCTTGGTCACTGAACACCTAGAGAAGTTCTTAGCACAAAATATATTTTGTTCATGTCAGTTCTCATCAGCAGAAAAGAAAATGAAAAAATAATCTCAGGACAGGTTATGGATGAAACCAGAACGACATGAATCTGGAATTCCCCTGTAGGTAGGGCTGAGATAATCTTCCCAACCGCCCCCAAATTAGTATGATCCCTTTCTACTGGATCCTGTCTCTGCAATATTTTATTTGAAAAAACTCAATCAATTGACAGTGTCAGAAATAGTGGTGATTTTAAAGTTATTTTGGAGTTTGTGTAAAATAGCGTTGAAGATTATGCACCTGTGGGTCTAATGTAACATTTCAGTCAGGTAACTGCTATATTTTGCTTCTTCCTGAATGAAAATACATTATTTCACCATGGCCTAATAAAAGAGGTGATAGTATTGCAGTGATTGAACTTAGTATTGTCAGCTGAATGAGAAAAAACCACATGCATGGAATGAGCAATGATAAGAATTTGGGGGAAGGGGAGGAACTGCCATGTCAATTTCATGGTGGCACTTTATTAGTTGAAGTGTACTTCTTGAACATAATATTGTGACTGCTGTGCTCGAACATACATGTCTTTGTTCCAGATTTTCTTGTAGTCTGTTTATTCATCTGGTAAACAGGTGGATCAAAATAACAAAGAAAAATAAATTAAACTAAAGCCTAAAATATCATGTTTGCCGGATTGTAACGTGTACAGTTTCAGTTTTCTTAGGTGTTTTACTGAGTGTTACCACTAACATTGCTGGTTCTTGAAATTCATTTTATTCTCTGAGATTTGGAATGCTCATGGCAGTGAATACCGAAGTTACTGCATTCTGGGATGCGATGTCTGGAGCGAGCTGGGACAGCTCAGTCTGTATAGTGAGTGGGTGGCAACCTGAATAACCAGGAAAGAGGAGTTCAAGTACCAGGGGCGCTGGAGGATTTTCTCCACAGCATCCAGATTGCCCCTGGGGCCTATCTGGTGTCCTATCCAGTAGGCATCAAGTGCTCTATCACCAGGGGTAAAGGAGACATGAATATGAAGCCAACCATTGTATAGTGCTGAGGTTAAGAATATGTGGAAGTATACTTACTTTCCTCCCTCCCCCCACGTCCTATTGGTGTGGTGCTTTATTCTTAGGATATGTCACATCTGAGAAAACAGTAATCTATTTCCCACTGTGTTGGGACAATTTATGTCAGTTATCCAAAACTGGTTTAAGTATAGTACAGTTTACAGCATTTAACCTCCATGAATTAAATTTTGTAGAGCTTATGTGTAAAAAAAAATAGGTTTGGGAGTTGGAATGGGCATTATGTCTGGTGAACATTAAACTTCAACAAAGACAGTATTTATATCTAATGATAATGAGGAAAACAATGTGTTAAAATAACAGGTCTCATGGCAGGACTCAAATCATGGATCTCATTAATATATGAAGTAATGACTAACATTCTGCCTGATGGGAAAAGCAAAGTATTATAGGATTCTGTTTAAAATATTCAGCAGATGAGCAGAATTCATATCGGAACATGTTGCCTATTTGTATAGTTTCCCCATACAAGGAAATATTTAAATAAAATTGGTTGAAGTGTCTCTTTTCTCTTCACTTTTGTTCATATTTTGTATTCTTTGGTATGAATAAATGAGGGTCTATTTGTAACTTGTGATTCTGTGATTAATGATTGATGAATTTTAAATACAGTGACAGTATCAGAAACCGTATTTTTTTGGTGCTGAAACTGTCTCTTAAGGACAACAGATGTCATTGACAATACTTGCCAGCACTCTATCAGACACTGTGTCACTAGCTGGGAACATTGTGAGTTAATTTCATTATTCAGTCCTACAAGGTTTCTATGAGTCTAGTCATTTAAGTAAAGAAGTAACTAGATGTATTTATATTTCTGTTTATTGTATATGTGGAAGCATATTAAAATGTGTGCATGTGTGTTGGTTTATAAAACAAGAAAATGTAATGGTTTAAATTAATTTATAAATTATCAATAATTATTTATGGCTCCCTATCCTTTTCTTTCTTCATTACTGTTGTGTGTGAACATTCTTGAGTAATGACTTAGGCATCCATTTTCTCCCATTTCAGTGCCCATCCTGTTTGCCGATATTCAGATGTTATGATGATTGGTGAGTAATTAGAAAATATTTTGAAGGAAGAAGTTGCGGCCTGATTGAGGTAGTACCCAACTGTACCTGGAAGGACTGAGGAAAATAGTGAAAACCCTTGGGATATGCAGTGTCCTGGCCAAATTCAAACTGCACCTGAATGCAACCAGAGCGTCACTGGTATGCCAACCTTCTCAATGTCAATAATATCACATTGTGTACTTAAAATAGCAAGGCAGCACACAGTAACATGGTTGAGGCACTATGCTACAAGCTGGAAGGTTGTGGGTTCGAGTACCAATGAGGTGGATTTTTCTTTTAATTGACCTAATCCTTCTAGCCACACTGTGGCCCTGGAGTTGACTCAGTCTTTAACAGAAATGAGTACTAGGAATCTTCCTGGGTGGTAAAGGGCAGCCGGCGCGTAAGAATGGCCTCACCGCCATCTGTGAGCAGATTGTCTAGAAAAAATGTAGGAGCCTCGACGTCTCACAGCCCTATGGGCCTCCATGGCCTGTTACAGGGAGCTGATAGATCCTAACCATTATAGTGACTTCATTACAGGCCTGATGATCAACCAGTCAGATTTTGATTCCCAGCACAGGCAAGACTTTTCTCCACAGCATCCAGACCAGCCCAGAAACCCACCCAGTGGATACCAAGGTCAGTCTCTTCATGACTGAAGTGGCCAGAGCATGAACATAACCTCTTATCTGAGGAGATGCAGGGACTTGAACAGGACAGAATTTTTAAATTGCACTTATATTTCTTTGATTAAATTTTCATTGGCTTAGTGTTGCAATAACTAGGCTATGTGGGATTAATAGATTTTTTTGACTGTCCATCGTCTGATTAAAGAAGATGTTTCAGAAACTGGGTCTGTTTCCGTCATTGGGTAAGGGTGTGGGAGAGAGAGACTGTTGTATCTGTCATAAAGAGCTAACCTTAATCACTCAATAACTGATTGTGACTGAGGTTGGCTCTTTCTAATAGACGCAACAGAGTAGGCATCTCCCCACACCTGAGGATGGAAATGGATCCAGTGTCCAAACCACTGTGGTCTTTAGAACACCAGACAATGGACGAAGTCCAAATCACATTAATCTCTAGTGTTGTACATGTCAGAACCCTTCAGAATGTAAGTGCATATCACAGTTTGACCATTTTTTCATGAATGTAGATTTTATTTTTAAGCCATTTAAAATGTTTCATTTTTCATATTAATGTTTTGTAGGTTTTTGTCATTGTTTCCACATGTCCCGGTGGGTGCAGAAGCATCACATTAACCATGACTTCCAGCAACGCCCATGAGTGGGACCAGAAGCCTTCAGGACCCCGCAGTTTTGTTTGTCAGAATGAACCGTGTCGGTGAACAGCAGAAATATCCACTGTACAAATGAAACTTTAGAGACATGCATCTGGGACCCCCATTTCATTCTTCCAGGACATGTAGAGTGAATAAATCTGTGTTGCATCTCCAGTAGCCACACAATTTTTAACCTTTAAGCCATAGCAATTTATAAGTTTTTTCCTTGGTACATTTGCAAGAAAACGTTTCAGAAGTGTACGTGTTGTACTCAGTCTGCTCCATGCACTAATTTAACAAATAAATGATTTTCATGAAGTTCATACAGTTGAAGTTTTCAAAAATTTCTTGACATTCCAATTTTAGATTTTATCAGACCGGAACGAAGAATGTTACAAGGGCATACATGTGTCTCGGCAAGCAGATCACTAAATATTTATCTGAGAACTGTTCTGGAAAAATGCTATAGCAAGTAGTGATACACATTTTCATCCAACACACACTTTCAGTCAACTGTATTGTAATAAATTAGGAATTTTCCAAGTTTTGATTTTCCCCAGTATCTTTCTATTGTTGCTCCAGACTCACCTGTCACTGCCCCCTGACAGGCAGCAAATTACCATATCCTTTTCTTCAGTTTAATTCATGAAATGGAGAAGAATCTTCAAGAACTAACATAGCAAGAATAAGTGCAAAAATAAAAGAATTACACATTATTTGCAACCTTTATCTTTTACAGGAAATATACACTTTACATACTGGGTACAGACAAAAAATTCAGATTCCAATAGCATATGTAATTTATGTTCATTTTGCTGAAAAAGAACATGGTCTGTAGTTCAACTCATGCCCTTAAGAAAACACCATCTGGTAATGCATTTGTGAAAGAAACATATTCCACCACTATGAAAAAATCCGATCCCTAGGCATATTTACTTGCCACTGAGCTGCTCGTAAAGTTTCGGAACATAATCGTCCCACTGAGCCTGGTAAAAGTTACCGGCAATAGGATTTCCCAAGTTGTGCTTCTTTGCAAAGTTCCTAATGGAGAACTTTCCTCTGTTATCCCCAGATCTGCAAAAAGGATAATAACAGTAAGTGGTAGTAGTAATGGTAGTAGCAGCATTAGTAGTTGTTCTGAGGGTAGCTGTATCCTCAGATGGGCCCAAAGTACCAGCACGTGGAATGTCACAGGAACTACGGTCACCTCGCCATAACAGCTACAAGGACTAGCCCAGAACTTAACATGGTCCTCTGCAGTGAAAAGTTGGTGATCAATCACCCCAAGCTATGGCATATCAGAAAAGAAAATACGAGTAGTACTGTGTTAATCTGCAATATTAATGCAAGTGGCTCTGGGGTCCATCCTGCCTTTTATTCAATGGGATACTTTCCCCTGGGATAAAGGTGACATCTCCAATGCCAAATGTGTGAACCTTTACCTCCATGCACCCCATATACTCCTAGCAGTCACTGACTAACCGTCGCAGTGCAGCAGTTGCAATTTGTTTCATAAGCAGAAGGGCCCAACACCTGGCCTCAGTCCCTACAGCAAATTCTTCCTTCTTCATCCCTTCCAGTTCATCATTCACAAATTTACTATACTATTTGACACTACATTTAAATACAAATCAGTCATTCCTAGCTTCGTGCTAGGGCATAGGGCCAACTTTAACTTTTAAAATAATTTAATTCTATATAGGTTACATTTACATGATGTCAAACTGCGGAAATGTGGAAGTGGTCTTGGGACTATTTTAAGATATTCCAGCAACACTTTTTGTCTGACTGAGAAAAGCATGAAACAACTGAATTTAAGGCTTCCTGAAATTTAGTATCTGTACTGTCTAAAGACTGTCAGTGAGAGAAACGTAGTTTCAGCAAATGCATATCTGCACTAATGAGGGATGCAAAATAAAGAAAAAGCAAACTGCAAAAACATGCATTCCACAAGATCTGAGATTTTTGCAGCAGTATGAGTGAAGATTACAGTCTTCTGAGATACAGTGTCATGTAGTTTGGTTGACAGGTAGCAATGTTTCACAGTAACCTGCTGCCACCATCTTCAGGGCAGAATAGAAGATGGAGCCAACAAGTTCTTCTGAAACTTATCTAGGAGATTATGTAATGCTACATCCTAGAAGACTGCCATCTTACAATGGAATAGGTCTTTTCTCCTTGGCACCAAAATGTCCCCATCAGTCCTGTCTGAAACAAAATAATTTCTGTATAAATTTTAGTAGGGAATTTTTTGGGGGTACTGGTCTGTTACCTGTTAGTCAACCGGGGCTCATCATATGTGATTTTTCCAGGCTGCAAGTACACCAGGAAGACATAGCGATGAAGGCCTGAAACAGAAGGGAATGTACACAAGTTTTTATTTTCCATTTGTTGAAAACTTCAGTGTTTTCCCTACCCTCACTCACTCATGGAGCTGAGCCCTTCTTGAGATGCCACCACTTGTGCAGCTCCTCAAGAACTTCCCAGCGTTTTATAGAACCAGAAGGTTCATCACCGTGTTCACAAGAGCCCTCCACTGGTCACTAGTCTGAGCCAGATCAATCAAATCCTTAGCAACCCATCCTATCTGTCTAAGATCCATATTAATATTGTCCACCGCCCTATGTCTTGGTCTGCCTAGTGGTCTCTTTCCTTCTGGCTTTCCCACCAATATCCTATATGCAATCCTCTTCTCCCCCATTCGTGCTACATGCCCTGCATACCCTTTCTCGCCTAGTTTTACTTACTCATTTTGTGTGCTTTTAAAGAATCTTAATATAGCATGAATTTGATAAAATACTGTGTACTGTCTACAGCTAGTGAAACAAGCGTAGCTATCACAGAATGCTGCAAGAGTAAGGAGTAGAGTCCGTAATATCTTTGTGTCATCCTGTATTATGTCCACCACAGGGAACAGGACAGTCACAGTTCTGTTTGCGTGTACAAGAATTACACATGCAAATACACAAAAAGTGTTCACGTATGAGAGACAGTGTAGTGACAGCATCAAATCGGTGACGACAGTGCACACAAATTCAATAGTCAGAACCCACCTGTGCCCTTTGGAGGTCCAGAACCGACGTATTCTGAAAGAGTTTCACCCTGGGACACACTGTTTCCAGGAATGTTTCCAACCAGCCAGTGGTGCCATTCTCGAAACTTGGGGTCCTTTCGGCTCGGGGCATCAGGATCTGGTGATTCAAACAATAAGATTTAGCAATACTAAAACTGAACTGCGATCAGATAGGTTCGCTTAGTGGGGGGTGAAGTCCAACTGGGTCCACTCGGCATGACAGCAACTGATTGGCCTATAGTACTCTGAGGAACCCTGCCCCAGCGCCACTTTGTCCACCACAAATCCCACTTTACCAGCGACTAACCGCCTGAGCTATGGTGCGGCCTTATCATATAGGTTAATGTGATGTGGCGAAACCCCTAGTTTACATTATGCTTAAATATCATTACTACCCCCTAAATTTGGCACAAGACATGATACAGAATATAGATTTTGCTCATTCAGTGTTAATCCTGTCGCCTGCCAGGATGACGTGTGCCAATGTTGATCCTATCAAGTGACGGGCTGTTGCCTCTATGTAGGCTTACATACCTGTCATGCACAGTAGGTAATAGGAGCCATCCTCGGCATCCCACTTGACGGTGGGTGGATCCTTCACTTGTGTTGGCGTCAGTTCATTTCCCTCATCGACGCTAAGTGACCCATATGTCACCTGAAACATCTCTTGAAATAGATTTTGCTTATATGTCAGTGGTGATTGAGGAACCAGTGTGGAAACTGGAGATCTAGGCATACTTTTTATTTATCTATTCTTAAGGTAAAGCTATGCCTGTAATAGGCCATGGATGTCCATGGGGTCATGAGACGTTGAGGCTCTCACATTTTCTACGCAATAGGCTCATAGCTGGCGGTGATGTTGTCGGCTGCACTTTACCCCCAGCAAGATTGCTGTTACTCATTTCTGTCAGGAGCTTAGTTGACCCCAGGGCCGTAGTGCGGCTGGAAGGATTAGGGAAATCGAAAAACTGCAATGACGTCATGGGGAATGAAACCTGTAACCTTCCAGCCTGTAGTGTGGTGCCTCAACTGACTATGCTCTTAATTTGTAGTTTCTTTAATGATAATGTCAGTGACTTGCATTATATAGTGTTCAGTAATTGGATAATTGTGAGTAATGAGTTGGAATGGATGTGGAAAGAAGTGCTCATGACCCAATTTAAGGTAGCTGTCCCTTCATTTAACTAATTAAGTACCACACCATCAGGGTGTATGGGGGAGTGGATATATACAACCACATTTTCTCGACTTCAGCAAAATTTGGAGGTGGGTGGTCAGCTTCATACCCCAGCCACTTTAGCCCCTCCCCCCCCTCCCAGCAAAAAAAGACCCCAGTACCCATTGGATAGGAGGCTGGGTGGGCCTAAGAGCTGGTCTGGACATGGACAAAATTCTTGAACCTACCGGGACTCAAACTCTGATCCCTCGGTCTCCCAGCCTGTAGCCACTTGCTGTACCGACTGCACTATCCCTCCAGCATTTGCCTGGAGGGACTGAAGAAAATCTTGAATAAGTATAGTTAGTGTCCCATCTGAGATTTTAATTAGACGTGTCCTGAATGCAAGTCATAAGGGTTACTACTTGAGCAAGAGCACAAGGTTTGCATACAATTAAACTCAACCATATAAGTATAGTGTGAAGGTGCTGGCTGCATTTGTTCAAGTTCCAATAGGGTCCAGTGGTGGGTTCTTGTACCACTGAGGTTCTGTTTCTTGCAAGAGCAGGAATAATCTCTTTGTCAGAACGCCCAGAACTCTGATGACCGTAATCTGCCACCTACCACTTGAGTCGGTATAGGGGACTCCTGTAAGTGCCAAGGATATGAGCATGTGGAGTTATACCTCTACTATCCTCTCTTCATAGCACTCCAGTTAATTAACAAGGGCAACTTTACCTTTACTTTATCAGTTTATGTGAGACCTATATTATCTGTGAAGAGTGTGAACTTTCAGCATAGGAAATGCAGATTCTGTACAGCTCTAAAAAATATAAAATATGATGCTGCCTTGTTCAGCAGACGTGTTGCGAGTCTTAGAGTCTACCATGGCCTTAACCCTTTCAAGCTTGAAATTCATCTAAATGTTTAAAAATTAATTTCCTACCTAACAGAAAGAAAAAACAACTGGTTATTCCTATTTACTGTGAGTTCTTTAATATTATAACAGAGTGTACATAATGTAACTGCTTTGCCTTGGAGGGTTAACACTGCAAATACTCCTGGGAACACTGGAAATGTAGTGAATTTACAGTCTTACCTCAAGTTTTGAACCTGGAGCTGTGTCGATCACATCAGGTACAACACCGTGCTTTTCCATGGTTTTTGAAACTGTGGACAGTAGGCGAGATATGATGTTCAGTATAGGCCTTCGTGCAATCATTGGTGTAACCTTATCCAAATGTAAATAAGGGCATTAATTGTTCAATTAACCATGCCACTGTAAGACATGGGGAGTTAATTCATTATTAGAAGGCATCTTTTGGCAATAAATACTGCACTCATACCGTATTAATTATCACAAATTCGTATCGAAAGATGCAACAATACTGCAGAACGGTTATCAGCATGGTAATGTATTTCTTTTACCATTTACGCCAAGAAACTGTAACACTCGATGGCTGACGGTAGTCGCAATGATCCGTTAGTAGGTGATAAATAATTACGTAACGTAATTGTGTCTTGTTTATGTAGAAGATATTTAAAATTAATCATCTTATAATAAGATATTACTAAGTATTCCTCCGTATCTGTTTGAAAACAAGCGAAAGTGAAAATTTTATCCCTCCCCCTGACCTTGGCAGTTTGTTAGTAACAGCCTTGGCTTCTGATTACCGGCTAACACGGAACATAAGAAAGAAGCATTTCTTTTGTCTGTCGTTCATTATTTATCATACCAAGTGACACATTTTGCCATACATGAAGGACATTTGACTGTGTGTACTTACTTCCGGATTTTATTGTTGTATTTCTCACTTTCTGCGAAGTAACAAGCCACACCAACGTTCATCAAGATATCGAGATACCATTGATACCAACATTCACAACTTTCGAAAATAAACGTCGCGAGATAAACAGAAAGGACTAAATGTCAACACGTGGAATATAACGTATCGGTATTCCTTGTGTTTACGGAATCCGATTTCACAATATACCACCTGCAGACCATATTTTGAGCCATTTCAGTCGAGTTCAGCTTAATACCATCTAGCTTAGGTCTCAAAATATTGTCGTTCTCTGATACCTTCCAACCAGAAATTTCGTACGTATTTTTTTGTTCCCTCTGTATGTTGCAGGTCAAAGCCATCTCATTTTTCTGGAAAAATATTAAACGAAAAGTCCAAATTTTGAAGATCTGCATTATGTTATTTTATCCATTCGTCTGATATTACGTACGTTTCCTGGATTCGGACAGTTTGTTGAGGTTGGGGACACATTGTAGAAATCCCCTTAGACAAAGTTACACTTATTCCTGTATGAAAGTGGAGCACGGCGTGCCGCAAGGATGAGTGTTGGGGCCGCTTTAATTTTTGCTGCATATAAATGTTCGAGGGGCAAAGTTGGTCTTATTTGCAGATGATACTAATTTGTTAATTACTGGATCAGATGAAGTTGACCTTCAACATAAAATAAAAAACGTGATGAGAGAGTTAAATATATGGTTCGACAAAAATATTCTTATAATACATTTTGAAAAAAAAAAATAATTTGCTATGTCATTTCATCCGAAACAAATGAGAGTTCCGTTAAGACCACAAACAAATTTAAAACTTTAGAAATTACCTATAAATCAGAACTAAGATTTTTAGGTATTTACATCACAGAAAACCTAAAATGGGGCGCCCATACTCGATTTTTAAGAGCTAAGCTATGAAAAGTAGTTTATATGATAAAAACATCAAAAGAAACGTTGAGCCCAAATATGATAAGAAATATCTACTTTTCAAATTTTGAGTCCTGTCTGCGGTACTCTTTACACAGCAAAACAAGGTCCTTCAAATTATCAGTGGGGTTAATAATCGATCGTCATGCCGACAAATTTTTAAAGATTATAATATTTTAACATTGGCAGCGCTATACATTTTTGAAGTGATATGTTTTATTAAAAAATATAAAGACTTTATGGCAAAAAATGTGGACAGCCATAATTACAACACGCGAAGAAAACTAAATTTACACGTAAATCAATGCAATACATATTTTTTTAAGAAAAGCGTTATAAATATGGGAATCGCCTTGTATAATGAGATCCCTGAGCAGATAAAATGAAAAAGTAAATTTAATTCTTATAAGAGGGGCTTAAATCCTTGCTGTTGAAACATTCCGTTTATTCCGTTGATGAATGTATGTCCCTTTAATTCTGAAGGTCGCCAGATTTAACCCCAGTGGATTTTTTCTTGTGGAGTTATGTGAAGAACATTGTCTACCAGGTTAAGATCAACGACCTTCAACACCTGAAAGCCCGCATAAGGGACGCTGTGGTTGCTACGGTAACACCAAACATGCTTCAAGCTTGGATATTTGTCGTGCCAGCAAGGGAACCCATATTTAAATTTATTAAGAAAGTTATATAAGCAGAAAAAGTTTGATAGTTTCCCTTTTTAATGGTGTAACCCATTATCTATAATAAATTCCTTTTGAGATATAATGATTTCATTTTGGATACCTTTCATCCGGACATTCTGTATGTTGAAAGTAGAGTCAAGTAACTTTCTAATGATGACGTAACGGTCAACGTCACTAAATGACGATGACTTCCTTTCGTTCCGATAGCAGATGGAGTGTAACAGTGAATAATGAATTGGATAGGATCTGAAACGAAGCGTCCTTGGCGTAGTTAAAGATATTTGCCCCGGAATTTTTTCGAGAGAATGAGAATGAGAATGAGAAACTTTAGTCTGGATAGCAGGTGTCCCGTCCGAGATTCAAAGCGTTGCCACCGGAACTTAACTAACTCCCCAGTTCATAGCTTTTGTGGTAGCGGTAGTTGACTTTGCAGGAATTCCTTCTGCCAATATGAAATTTTATGAGCTGTTCTGGGAATATTTGGGCTTCGTGATCTGAGTTTGCGCGTTGAACAGTCGCTGATTGTCGTGCAGTCACAAGTTGGGAAGTCCGGGCGCGATAAGGCTGCCAGGCAGCTGGTATCATGCCACTTCATTTTCATTTCATGCATCCTGTTGTGTTACAATATACAACCTCTTTATTACAACCGTCACAACACAACAAATTCCCTACAGAACGGACAAAACTTTGTAAGATGAGGCACCGACTAAACAATTAATATTAATTTACTACATCTACATCACGAGCCTCCTATACAATTTTATATAAACAAAATATAGAATATTCCAATTTGTCCGTGGGAATGTAACGAAATTACAAAACCAACGACTGATTCGATGATATAAAACATAAATCTAAGAATTTTATTCTTGTTTTATACTATAACTTCTGTTTTATATAATCTGATTTTTGTATTTTTACGTCAAGTGTTTTATATAATTAACAGTATTGTATCCAATTTTGCTAGTACTGCAGTTCAGTGGTGTATGTATGTTAACCATGTATTTGCCTGATGATGGCTATTGATAGCCGAAACATGTAGCAGAGCCGAAACTAGGCACTGATCTTGATATTTGTTGTGTTGTGACGGTTGTAATAGAAGTTGTATCATGTCTGTCTGTCGCAGTTTATGTGTCATGTAAATACTACACGTCGTCACCGGGTCTTACTAATATGCTTAAAGGCAGCTTTAGACTGGGGCCAACACTTCGAAAATGGGCTGAACGGCTGGAGCGCGAAGCTAGCCTTTCACATTCATCTGGCGCTGGATTTAATGTGAATATGTGGAGACTTTCCCACCAGTCGTCCTACACGTATGCATGGCACCGGTGCCTAGACGCAGAGCACTGAGCCACACTGTTGCAGACTGTACACAGTGTGGCTAAGTGGTGGTCACAGGCGAACTGAGCAGAGCAGTGATTCTCAGCCTTTCTCAGACCGCGGCCCGTTGGTTGAGAAACGCTGGAGTAGAGTATCTACTACTTAATTTGTATGTGTGGGTGTGAAACTTGGTCTTTCACATTAAAGGAAGAAAATAATGGAGGGTGTTTGAGGACACGGTGCTGAGGGGAATATTTTGACGAATGAGGGAGGAAGTTAAGGAAGACTGGATAGAATTGAACGCTCATAACTTGCAATCCTCGTCAGACTTTGCTTATCTTGAGTACGTGTACTTTAGTACTAAAGATAAGCAGCGGCACGCACACAGGGGCCTACGCAGAATAATACCTGAGCGGTGCTGAAAGCAAGAAGTAGCTGCTGAAGCACTGTACACCTAGAGCAGGTATCCCTGTGAACTTTAAATTAAAAAAAATAAATAAATTTAAATTGAGGATCTTAAAATACCAAAATTCAAAAGTCAAATTGACGTATGTAAATTAACAAAGATTTTATACATATCTAACAAATATTAGCAAGGGATTCTGATATATCGGGACCTATTAACAACGGAGAAATGAACAATTAAGAAAGCTGGTGTTTTTTTTTTAATTTTAAACTACGTGCAGTGTAACAGCTACGTGAGAGAATACACCTGATGATGGCCATTTACGGCCGAAACATGTAGTGTAGAAGAAAAGAAGACAAAAGAACTACAATAAATTGTTGCACTTAGGACGGAGTTTGTGTCATACATTTGTACTGGAAGTTCTACACTGTAATGTGACAAGACAATGCACATTTCGATCACTGTTGCTTCGTGTGTTGTTTTAAATCGCACCACTTGCAAATAAATTAACCTCTATCTTTAAACGATTAGAAGTTACCGATACTCTCAAATTCCAGAGACATTAGGAATGTAAAGACTGTACTGAGGCTACGGAGTTGAGGCCCATGGGTCGACCCCCTCCACATCTCCATCATGCCTTTACTCCCCCCCTTCCAGGGCAGCTCCCTGTGTTCCCCACCAGTCATTCAGTCACTCTCCCCATACTAATATTGGTACAAGCACCTTGCCTCGGTTTACATAGGCCAGCCTGGGTTGCAGAAGAATTCGACAGTAGACAGAGGGGGAAGCTTCGAGCATGGAGCACAAATTAACAGAACACAGTGCCCCCTCATTATTCCGCTGCTCCAGTCATTACCCCCCCCCCAACTTGATTACGTATGTTTCACGTCGTACACGTGTCAATGATGTTTTGTTGCAATACAAGACTGCATTGTAGCACTCACAGGTACAGGGGGCGAGGTCCACAGTCCGCTATGAATAGGGCGGGTGTCTGCTTTTTCTAACTTTGGGAATAAAGGTAAAAAGGTAAAGTTGTCCCACGCCATGAAGACATATGAGGAATGAATTTATACATTGACGTTTTCTTGACCTCGGCACTAGTTGGAGGTGAGTGGTCAGCTTCGCACCCCGGCCGCTTTGTCCCCAGCACCTATTGGATAGGCGGTGTGGGCCCCAGAGGTTGGCTGGGTTACATAGAGGAGTGAAAATTCTTGACTCTATCAGGACTCTTTAACTCCGACCCCTCGGTCATCCAGCCCGTAACTGGTCACCATACAGACTGCGCTGTTAGCTCAAATAGTAAAATGTATTGAGCACCCCTTTTACCTGCTCAACCTCAATCTGAAATTGCCTTACATTTCATACGTTTCTTAGTCACTGCATAAAATACGAGATCACATGACAGAGCAGGAACTGAACATGTTTGCTAACATCGGCTTTGTGTGGAGTGTTCGTTGTGTTAACAGCTGGTCCCAGCAGAGGCTAGAAACAGTTCTTTCAAAACACAAGGCAGCAGGCATAGTGCAGAGCCCGTCGATTTTTATCGATGTTGCCTTGCCTTCTTGGCAAAGGGGCGATCTGGCCCACAACCACTGGACTGTGTCCTGGGAACAAAGGCAAAATTGTTCCTATGCTTAAACACCACGCCACGAAGACGTAAAAGAGAGCGGAGTTGTAACTCCTCGCATTCTTAATATCGTCACTAGATGGATGTAAATGTTCAGCTTCACGCTCCACCTGCTTTATTTTTTGAGAAAGAGACCCCGGTACTCGTTAGATAGGATGCTGGGTACGTCCTGGAGGCGGTCACGGGGTTCCCCCGATCGTCCAGTCTGTCACTTAATCACTGCAGTCAACTCCGCACTTTGACGTAACACAATATAAGACGACAGGAATCCAGCTGGCAGTGGAATACAGCGGGAAGTACGTCGCAAAATCCACGACTGCCATCGTCACGATCCTGTACTGTGACCAGGAATACAGCAGCCAGCTGTGTAAGGGCACGTAGTTGACCGTGATCGTGCAGATCAGCCAAAACACCAATCTCCCTTCATCCTTCGCCTTCACGTTGTCAGGCGAGCTGCATCTCCGACATTCACTCACTACATAGAAAAATGTGGTGAGTACCATAGGGACTACGCAAAATGACAGACAATGAAGTATGACAGTGCGTTTAGTATTGGCGTCTTCAAAGGTATCGCCATGTTGGATGTAATATGGCGTGTATGACGTCACGGTTCCAGAGAGGGAGTAGCATATCGCCATGATCCAAATTACAAATGTCTGAGAGGAGAGTGTGATAATGCGATGAATGTTATGTTTTGGCGCAGGCGAACCAGAGCCCTCTGCGATGCTCTCCTTGCACGTGGAAGCTGAAACGGATTCGTAACGGCGTGGCTGTAAGTTCGATATTCTCAGCGCACTGAGCACTGCCACTGAGAAGATCTGCACTCCAGTTGCGACGTCACGTAGTATCCAGAAGGCCATGTAAGTAGGAAACTGCAGGCCACAGTCGTTGTGGAACTGATATATGTAGTTGATCGGCAGGCAGACAGTTGCAAGAATGTTCCCAACGACCAGGTTGATGAGGCAGGCGCTGCGTATGTTCCTGTGCTTTATGAGGGTGACAAGAAGATCCGCGTTTCCGATCGTTGCAACAAGGAAGGTTACTAGCCATGTCAGTGGTTGGTTGGCCGATTGCTTGTCTAGTGGTTCCATCTCGACACACATCTGTGAACAGACGGAACCGGATGTCGCATCAGAGGTTCTGTCCGTGTATGCTAACCTGGCTGTTGTCAACAGGTCGCATGAGAGGTTCTGTCCGTGTATGCTAACCTGGCTGTTGTCAACAGAATTCGCAGTCGATTTGGTCGATAGGGTATTAAGGTATGTGTGGGTTGCAGTAGGGCCTTAGTGTATCACCCCCTTCCCTTTCTCCCACAATGCAGCTGCAACCACTGCCAGCCACACTTCTCACGCGTAACCCAGAGATCAGGTTTAAAGCTTCTGTACCAGGGTCGAATCTTTGTCAGGAACATGACAATCTGATAGGTTTTTCTGTTTTATTAGTTTCTACAGACGAATGAATGGCTCAGTCACTGTAGTGATCAGATTTCAGGCTAAACGGCCGACGAATCGCGGTTTGATTTCTCTCCTCCACAGCGTCCAGACCGGCTCTGAGGTCCGCCCAGCCTACTAGCAAATGAGTATAGGGGCGTGAGGCTAACCACTGATTTTCATCTGGTGCAAAGATTAAGAATGTTTGGAACTATACCGCCTCTTCGCCGTACATATTCAGGTCTGTTGCTTAGTGAAGCTCAGGAGCAACTTTACTTTTGCCTGTTTGTTTATTTAACGATGCTTCCAGTAGCTACGATTATATAGCGCCGAATGATAGGATTGGTGAATAATAAATTGGAAAGAACGTGGAAGGAAAGTGTCATATCCTAATTTGGGATAAACGTTTGTGTACCAGAATTTGGCTGAAGGTACTGAATGAGGTCATGAAATATTCCAGACAGGATTTGTTGGGACCGAGGTACGAACCCGGGACCTCCAGAATAGGAAGCAGGAGTCTTATGCACTTGACCATTACGAATGGCCGGCTTTGGCACAAGCAGTGAGCTGTGGGACTCTCCCAGCAGATATTAACTGGACGCACAGGCGTCACTCAGCCTGTTGGCGCATGCGCTGGCTGCCACGATGATTGTCAAGGTCTATGTGAGGTCAGCTCCTGTTGACCCTTTAAAGCACCACGCCGTAAAGGCATAGGGGGAGTGGAGGTGTAGCTCCATCATTGTTAACGTTGGCACTAGATAGAGGTGAGTTGTCAGCTTCACGTTCCTGCCATTTTATCCCCGGCATTCATTGGATAAGAGGCTAGGTTTCTCCGGAGTCGGTCTGGACGCTGTGGAGAAGAGAAAACTATCTTGCCCTGCGTAGAATCTAACCTCGACCTTCCAGCCTGTAGCCTAGTCACACAAACCATCTGCTTCAACACTCAGTGTACGAGTGTGTTTCGTATGATTCATAAACATGACGCATCTCATAACATTATATTGCATCGTGCTGTTGGACTGTGTGTATCTGACTTTGTGCTGCCCTTTTGCCGTCTCTCTGCAACGTCGGTTAATATTCACTCGTGCCCTTCTCTTTACTGTATATCAATACAGTAACTACATTAAAGAGAGTGTATATTAACCGACGTTGCAGATAGACGGCAGAAAACGGATCGCAAACTCAAATGACTTACCATAATTTTTTTTCTAATGCAGTGTTTCGAAAGCTGGATAAGCTTCCGTCGTCAGGTACAAGGCAGGAATGGTTTCTACTCAGTTGGTACTAGCAGGTTGGCATAGCGGTAACGCCCTTGACTTGTCTTCAGCAGTTACTCGGTTCTAATCACTGCCGTGACAGCGGTCGTCCTCAGTTCTTTCGTAGTTTCCCCCAGTCACTCCAAAGAGATTATGTTACGGTCGCCTTCGTCCACTTCATTATTCACCATTCACGCTAGCCTGAGATACCGGGTGAGTCGTAAAGTAAGTCACGGGTCAGGTCTAGTAACGGCACCGCCTTTCCTCCACTCGATCTGATGATGGCAGGGCATCACAGTCGGCGGCATGGCAGAGGTTGCAGCTGTTTTGTGGGTTCTGTCACGGCGCCAGATAGCTAATGCCCCGACTGAAATTCGAGCCAGGCACCTCCCTAATATGAGTCATGAGAGTTGCTCCTTCACCTTGCTATTAATTTAGCTGTTAGTTGCAGATGCCGTGTCTTCGGGCGACTCACGGTGTCAGGCACTCTGTTGTAACCCTACGGGAAGATATTATCTAAGCCGAACTAACAGTAGATGCAAAGTACAGTTGAATTAACCTCGGAACGGGTATAAATAGGTAAAACAGTCCACGTGGTTTACTAATTAAGCACTACATCACGAAGGCGTATGGGGGATTGGTGTATAAGTCCACATTTTCTTTACCTCGGCACTAGCTGGAGGTGAGTGTTCAGCTTTACGCCCCGGTCGTTTTATCTCCGGGGAAAGAGCCCCTGGTACCCATTGGCTAGGAGGCTGGGTGAGTCTCAGAACCGGTCTGGACGACGTGAAGGGTAAATTCTTGACTCCTACCGGGACTCGAACTCCGACCCCTCGGTCGTCCAGCCCGTAGCCAGTCGCTCTACAGACTACGCTAACCCGGCTCCTACCCTCGGAACATGACTTTAGCTAAATTGCTGATGTGATAGGAGGAGAACCCGTTCAGTCTGGCAAAAGCGCGCTCTGCTCGGTTTTTGCATGTTGTTTGCTTATCTGGCAGGTGAGATATCGTATCGTAGGCATGATTTCCCGGAGGAGGGCAGATATCTTATAGCACTTCAAATAAGCGGGTATGGTGACCTAAATAAGCAGCAGATAAACGGAGTGGAGAAGTAAAGGCCACCAAAAATAATATACGGAAAAATATTCACTACTCTGTAACGGGCCAAGTGCCCTCAGCCAAGGATGTGATAATGGGCCGCCTGGCCAGGTGAGTATGCAGTTTGCGTAGTGACCGGCAGGGGAAACGCGAGCTGCTACAGTGCCAGTACGTCCAAACCGGCGTCTAACCTGCTTGTGTTATGGCGCGACCCTAAGATTTTGTGAAGCCAATGCGTGCAACGTTTTATATCACACCAAACAGGCAGTATAAAGCCACGAGGCCAAGGATTCACATGAAAATTTATTTTTGTTTGGATTCTATTACTGATCACGTCAATAATGGCTTCAAATGAAACTTATTTCTGCATAACACTAAAGCTTCTTAATAACTCCGCAGTTTCGCCACGAACCTCCTTACGACAAGCTTCCACTTTGAGGCTCATGACCAAAATTCGCCCCTCATTTCCATTCAGGACCCTTTTGCACCCCGGTAACCTACATCGCGGCCCCCAGACTGCCGGACTTTGACAAGAGGCATTTATTCATCAATCTTAACTTACCCGGAAGTGATGTTTATCTTCAAAACACCCTTTTCCCATTGTAAAATTTCACGTTTAAAGTAAAAGAAGTTTTCCTTTCGTTTGTAACAAATACTTTTGACGTCATATCCTGTTAGTTCAGTTCTTTCCTTGACATCTAGAAACGTGTCTATGCGAGAAAACCGTTATGGCTCAAAGCATAATGAAGGGTGCAATAATAAAATCTAATTTTACAAACACCATTAACATTGGTCTGGTTACAGAACGTACCCTACCTAGCCTGAGGTAAGCCTATCATCTTCTTGGGAACAATTGAGTGTCTAATATAAATAATTATAAATACTTTCAGGCTAGGAATTTACGGTTACAACAATTACCAGTGTGCTGTAAAGGGTTCACAGAGTTTCCAATAAATAAACAAAAGCTAGCGATGCCCATTGCAAAGATCCTACTTACGTTATCCTCGCGCGATGCCATGCAAGCCCGTACTGAAGTAGTCAGCAAGCGACAGCCGCCCGTGTACGCATGCTCGCTACCTCGCTACTACCCACATCCTCAGATGCGATGACATGGGTCGCTGCTCAAGGACCTCAAGGAGCGTAGCTGCTAATGCGATATTTCAACAACACATTTCTGCTATGTTCATGCTCTTATTTAGCAGCGTCGGGTGCTAGGATGAGTAATGAACTGGAAGGGATCTGCAAGGATGAGGTCATGGCGTCGTATCGTATAATATCACTAACGTTGGGTGGGGGGGTATAATTCAACGACTGGACCACATTCTACGTCGTCCAGACCGGTTCTGGGGTCCACCCAACCTCTTACACAATTGGTACCGGGGGTTCCTTCCTCAGGGGTATAACGGTTGGGGCGTGAAGCTGACCAATCAGCTCCAACAAGTGAAGAGGTCAACAAGACAGGAGTCTATACATCCACTCCCCCACACGCCTTCATAACGTAGTCCTTAATTATTTACCTACATATGTTACGCCGGCACGGCTAGTATGTCCGAGGAGACTGAGGAAAACCAGCGCGTACCGCAGGCAAAATTGAAGACCGAACCCGGAACCTTCTGAACAGGAAGGCGTTCTAACAGAACGTCACCGTCGAGCCTGCATCACTCCTGCTTCATATTTGGAAGGTCCCTGGATCAAATCTCTCCCCAGACAGACTTTCCTATCTAAGGGTGTTCGTGGTTTTCCCTCGCTACCGCAAATTGAACTCTAATCGCTTCCTTTCACATCCTTTGCAATTAATTTCTTAATGACTGTCGTTCACTCGACGCGATATGATTTGAACTACTGACAGCAACGTTGAAAGACTCAAGAGTAAGTGATTAAAGGTTTCTCGTTGGGAAAGTGGGAACTGCTCAAAGTGTTCACTTATCTGAAGGCTCCCAGAGCCATGGTCATGAGTCCCGTGCGACTAGGACCCAAGAATCACTGCGCTGGTGAGAGAGCCAGTAGCAATTGAGCAGTCAGACCTGATCCCCTGCATCAGCTCATGTAGGCTACATGCATTAGAAATGTGGCGGAGAAGTTGCCGAATTACACGGCGCTGAGCAGCTGATGCAAGGCAAGTACGCAAATCATTACAGTGAATGTCTCGCTAATATTCCACACTATATCGGTGGGAATGGTAGGGTGAATGATGAATGGGAAACGATTTGGAAGGAAGCGGCCATGTCTTAATCAGGGTACTACCCCGCCATTTGCCTGGAGGGAATGAGAAAAACCACGAATATTTCTGTCAGAATAACAAGTTTCTCGGCGGAGATTCGAACGGAGAATGTTCCGAATACGAGTGTTACGCCGCGGAGCAGGGGGGCGTGGAGTTAGCCCGCCTCTGCCACCCCTGTTATGCCGCGACGCTGGTACCACTTGTAACGCCGTGTTGCAGGAGGGGCGTGAAGTACCCCTCCTGACCACCACAGCTTACGCTGTAAGGAGTTAACACCATAATCCTAGCTCACCCTCGGCTAGGATTCTCCTGTTCGGGGTTTCCTTCTCTCAAAAAGCTGCCACCATCTATTATATGTCCTCAGTGAGGTGATGTAAGTACCAAGGGCCGGTAGCGCGTAGTCGAGCGTTCACTGTTGGCTGGCCCTTTCATCACTGTCACCTCTTATCATTGGCGTAGAGCGGGCGTATCAGGTCTGACCCGCCTCTACCTATCGTCTGTCATCTCTATTATGGGAACTACCCCCTGACATATAGTCATAGCTCCTTCTTGACAACTCCTCATATAGTTTACAGGTAGCAACGTATTACATTATTATGATTCTTATTATTACGTCTTAAGGGGGCGTTGATATTAAGGCTAATAAACTGTTGCCTGTGTGACCGGTGCCTCTCCCTGTCCATTCCTGGTACTTCGCCCCTAAGCATTCGGCTGCTGTCGCCTTTCATATTGGTAGGATCTGCGTGATCTGTCGTGGGAAGATGATTATGGAGGGATGAATCACAGTTCCCTGCCTCCATCCTACTCTCTCTACTCTGTCTATTTACACTCTTATATTTACATGATTCACAATATTTACAGTATTAACAAGGCCGACTTTCAGTCGGGTCTACATAGGCTTCACTTCACGCTACACTAGGAACCTCCCCCTTCGGGGGTGTATAACTGGAGTCTCTCTCTCTCCTCGACTCCTGACTATAGGCAAGTATTGATCATTCCATGTGATCCTGTTTCCCTACTATTCATTAGGTACGATTACACTATACTTCGTCAAGTTTCACTCTTCACATAATCTACCCTTAGTTATACATATTAAAACCCACAACTATATTTATCACTACACGCTAACCATAACCTTAACACATTCACTATAAAACCCTTATTGCCTGACTAACCTCCTAGGCAATTACATATTACATGATTCTAGTATCCTCCCCTAAGGGCTCGCCGGGCACACTGGAGTTTGCACCTTCAAATCTCACAACAACACTTTTATCAACAATACTATTAAACAACATGGCTGTTATGCGTAAAGAAACTTACTTGTAGTACAAGATGCAGGCCCACTGCCTCCGCTCGTAAGGCCCATGTTGAAGAGAGCCTTCGGCTGACAACTCAATATCCCAAGTCCCTCGAAATTCAGTATTTATAGTTTTAATTTGCTAATTCAGCTGTTGACGACAGAGGGTAGTTAACTCCTCCTCAGTGTCCTCAATTCCCAAAGTAATATTCTAATTGGTTATTATTTGTGGGTGTGGGCGGGCTCATGGCGTCTCATCGCTGTTTATGCGGTAATATTACGATACTCCAGTGGCCTAGTGAGGCAAGCTTCTTGCTAGTGCGGTTACGTATGAATGCTGATCATCACATTCTTAGCCTAGTTCCTGCCCAGGTGTTGACAGATTACTGTAATAGCTGTGAAACACTTTTCGCAAGTCTCGAACATTTGGGTAATGCCTTACAATCTCCAGTCTCAAATTTGAGCCTCTACAACGAGTCTATGCTTTCAGGCGTCCCAGGTAGAAACAACTTCTGCACATATACTGTATGGTTGCTTGTCTACAGGTTATAAATATGCAATAGGAAACAGAAGCATGTTGAGGAGAATGTTTGGACCGAAGAGGGATGAAGTGACAGGAGGTAGGAGAGAACTGCATAATGAGGAGCTTCATAACTTGTACTCTCCTCCAAGTATAATTAGAAGGATGAAGTCAAGCAGGATGAGGTGGGCAGGGCATGTAGCACGAATGGGGGAGACGAGGAATGCATATAGGTTAATGGTGGAAAAGCCAGAAGGAAAGAGACAACTGGGAAGACCAAGGCTTAGGTGGGTGGACAATATTAAAATGGATCTTACAGAGGTAGAATGGAATGATATGGATTGGATTGATCTGACTCAGTATAGGGACCAGTGGAGGACTCATGAACACGTTAATGAAACTTCGGGTTCCATAAAGTGCTGGGAAATTCTTCAGTACCTGCAGAATTGCGGCTCATCAAGAAGGGCTCAGCTCCATAAGTAAGTAAATATTTTTTTTAATTCGCTAGTGGGGATTGCAGTCCAGCTGGGTCCACTCGGCACGGCGGCCACTGATTGGCCTATTGTAGCCTGTCCGGGGTGATTATGATGGAGAATTTGGTGGAATGAAGATTGGCGGGGGAAACTGAAGTACTCGGAGAGAACATGCCCTAGCGCCACTTTGTCCACCACAAATCCCACTTGACCAAACCCGGGATCGAACCCGGGCCGCCGCGGTGGGAAGCCAGCGACTAAACGCTTGAGCTATGGCGCGGCCTCCATGAGTAAGTAAGTAACTAATACAGGATACAAATATTCACCTGGTACACTTCCTGTGGGATGTGTTCTTCGTTACCAGGAGTGGCACACATTGGCTTAGTAACCCCACGACTGTCAAACAAGTCGGGAGAGAGACTCGAACCCCGATACGGGGTGCCTGTGGCCTCCTTCTGTCATTTCTGCGAGTCGCTTAAGGCCAGTTCTCTGTATTTCACAAGGAAACAGAACCATTTTAGAGCTTGCTGGTTCTGAGGAACTCAGGGCGGTGACTAGACCAGTGCTGTCTTCTGGGCCGTGACGCCGTGCATACTGCTATTTCGGAGTTGTAGGCTGTGTCCATGTTCAGGGTCGAATAATGAGTCAAGCAAGAAAACAACAAGATTCTTCGACCATTGAAGATCGAGGCAATACGAGTCTGCGAAAAGTTTGTGAAGTTCTACAGGAATCCACGGCGTCACATCTCAGTGTATAGTATTGTTCAGGGCTTAATGATATGTTTGTGTCTCTTTGCTGCCTGTGTACTCCCATAATTATATCATTACGTGTAAGCCGCACTGCAGGTGTCCCATAAATACAAAACCTTGAGTAGAATGCGACTTCGCCTTGTCACGTTGTGGGTGATGGTGATAGGTAAAGGCGGACGTATTCAGTAGGTCGCTGTCAGTGAGAAGTGGACGGTGTGCAAATGATCTCATTTCATAGCGTCTGTGTCTGAGCTCTGATATTCCGTATTGCTGCAGACGTAGGGGGTTGCTATGCGAAATACTGAAGTGGCAGTGCCAGACTGAGGTTGATATAGCTGTGAAAGTCCCACACAAGCGCGCGCCCTGAACACAACACAAAAACAGAACACGAAAATTAGGCAGATGTACGTGATATAAATCCAGCACGCGACAGGAGAACACGGGAACCTGGTGCCGCCGTGCTCATCAAGAAAAACGTCATTACACAGGACTCGGGACTACGCGTCTAAATAGAGTCAATATAAAATTATAAAAATAGTAATTGCATTACTAACAAGAATAATAATTAATCAAAATTAGTTTAATTTTAACAAGTTCAAAATATTTTATTTATTTTAACCCAATTAAAACCAAAGTAGTTACAAAAACAGTTTCAAGGCTGATGCAAAATTAAAAGACATTTTGTTGAGAGTAACGCAGACCCTTCGGAACACTAGGAGAAAGGTTTATATGATTTACAGTGTTTAAGTCTATAAGTAAAAACCTGCGGCCAATGGAGAGCTGAGAGTTACTGTATAAGCACTCCCTGATGATGGCCACAAATAGTGGCCGAAACATGTCGTAATGTAAAACTGTATAGTTATCATACAATTATGCATATATTGTGAGCCTGTAACTGAGTAAAATATCCCACACACAGTATGACGCTAATATTACTTTCCAATTATATATTTTTTATTTTTAAAAATAATTCTGACACATGGCGTTGTATGACCTGGTATATAGGTACCAACTTTTGGAAACTTGTGTACCACACTACACGGCGTCATACACCACAATTCTGGGGTCTCGATAGTCACTAATGTGTTATCCAAAAATTCTTATGGCCTCTTCTTATGTAATGTTTTCATTATTTAAATGGCAAAGCTACAAACGCTAAGTTCAGTTTAGAGACAATTGACACAGAACTTCTAGGTTTCATTTGGCAAATAAGAAACCTGTCTCTGTAGGTAATGCCGAAGTTTTCAGTTCATGCTGAAGTGACGCCTCACATTGGGCGCAGTATAGCAGACAAGCAAGGGCAGCATGAACGCTGTCATGTAGGTAGGAAAGAACATTGAGTAATCCACGAGCATCTTGGCCACTTGAGGGTACAGTGATAAGGCACCGATACGCACTATGTACCCCGAAATGTTATTAATTACAAGCAATAAAACAAACCCCAGAAGTAAATATTGTTCGTGATTTTTCGCCCTTATCCTATTTGGTTCTATGGACTTAAGAAATACTGCCAGCAAGAGAAGAATTAGGGTAATGCTGATAGGGATAATGCTAAAAACAAGGCGCCGAATTCTTGTTAAATATATCGTGGAACTATCTTCAGAGATGAGTTTGTAATTGAGGTGCAGAGAGCAAGTGTCTTCAGACGAGGCTGCTAAGAAGACAGAAACAAATATGGCCAAAATCCATACCACAGAAATCTGTATGAAAGTAGGAATTTGGTTCGAGATAGTCACCTCTGTGAGAGAAGTAGATGTTGTATGGGAACTGCTGGGTCGATTGTTCCCTTTCTTATAGTTCACAACACTGAGCATGAGGCATGAGTAACTTTGAACTGCAGCTGGAATGTCGCGAAGTATCAAGTACGCAGTGCACATTGTAGAACTGAGAGTCCATTCATCGTCAAAATGGTGGATGCAGTGTAAGGGAAGACACAGAAGGGCAACGAGATCTGCTGCAGCGATGTTGATGATGGTTGGAGTCCTCGCTTTCTTCTTCAGGGCCAAAATCAACACAAAGGGGACGTTTGTTAGGGCCACCAGTACTCCGATAACTGTGCAGTGCACGGTAAGAATGTACTTGCTGTTCTCTGCCCAGAATCGCTGGATGGATTGTTCATTGTACATCTCGTAGTCCGCCATCTGCAGAACACAAATTCAAAGCCAAATTAGGAATCTGTGGAAAACAGCTTATACATAGAAATAACGGAATCCTACGGTTCTAAAATGGGTTCAAAATTTAGGGCCACATGTTCCCATACATTCCACTTCGCTCTTAGCCCCCGGTCCTTATCCACTCCTATGTCACTGACCATTGTTTCTTTGCGTGACTTTGGTCATGAAGATGGATGCAGCAATTTCCTACGAAACGTTGATAACGATCAACCAGACAACGCGACGTCACACCTCACTAGACTAAACTTTCGATACGAAAGTTACCGTAAACTTCTTGTCTACAGTTCTGCCTTTTGTAGCCGAAATTTTATTAATGTGGACCGCAAGTTCCTGTACTTAATTAGCCAAAACTAAATGGAGACTTATGGAGGTGTGGAGGTTTAGCTCCATGCGTTTTTGTCTTCGGCACTAGATTGATGTGAGTGATGAGCTTCACGCCGCGTCCGCCTTTATCCCAGGGTTTTGTATATCCTTAGATGGGACACCAGCTTGTTGCATCCTGGGATGGCACAGGTTGGCAGGGCGAGTTAGTGTGGGATGTCGGAGAACTGCAACTGAGGGCTCCCCGGCCGCACTTATTCATGAAAGTAAACAGACACGTTGAATGCTGATAGCGCCAGTCGCCTGCATATACCAGGGCGGCGGTCGACACATGGAGACAGTTTACCTCATTTTGGGGGCTGCGGCCGCTGACTATTTATTAAGATTGAGCGACCCCGAACTTCGAGATGTTTATCAGATACAAACAAACAAAAAACTCTGTGGCCTGTAGTCCGCAAGCGAACTATACCAACCGAGCTACCGCCGCTTGTCGGCGAAGTTAGTACCAACTTTTGCTGATAGAGGGTGTCGAGTGGTCAACGCAACGAATCCCCACGGCCGTTAATTTCAGTTTTCTAGACCGGAGCCACTACTTTTCCATTCAAGTAGCTCCTGTTATACTCACGAGGCTGAGTGGACCCCGTTTCAGACCCACTACTCCTCATAAAATCTGGTAGCCCCGGAAATCGAACGCGGGACCTCTGTATCTGCAGCCAGGAACCGTGACAATAGACCACAGAGGCGGGTAAGTGTCACAAATAGTTCGTATAAATGGTTTTCTGGGGACCTCAGTTCAGGTCGGTACTGTGCAGTTGTCTACCCGGATCTTGGCGTGTCGTCACCAGTACCCAGAGGGCACGCTGTTTCCTCGTGTATGGCTAGGATTTTGAAACGACAGGGAAAGAGAGCCGGCAACAAAATTGTCACAATGTAAGTCAGTAAATGCAACGATTAATCAGTTCATAATGATTGTATACGGAACAGCAATAGCTACATCCAGAAGACGGGAAAAACCCTGAGGGGAAATTGCGAGGGGCCCAAAACTGGCCTGGACGCTGTAGTAGAATTGATGTTCCTCAACCATCAGCCTCCCACCTTACTCACTGATAAGGCGAAGTTATCCCTAGATTAATTAAGCACCACACCATAACGAACTCTAGGGGAGTTGAGGTATAGATCCACCATTCTTAATCTCGGTACTAGCTAGTGAGTGGTTAGATTCAAGCTCCGACTGCTTTACCCCCGCCCCGGCAAACAGCCCTTGGTACACCACTGGATATGAGTCTGGGTTTTCCAGTCTGGACGTTATGGAGTACGGAAAATCCCTTGTCCCTACCGGGAATCAAACCCCGACCTCTCAGTCCTCCAGACGGTAGCCCCCTTCTTCCTTTATCAATTCATATGCTAATTACGCGGAATTTATTCAGTGTTCAATTATACGGGTGAAAGTAAACAGGAAGGGATCGAGGAGGAGCAGTAGATGGCCAATATTTTTTGCACGTCGTGACTGATATATCCCGTTCGGGATACGAAATGGGTACCAACCGAAAGAATCTCACTCCCCTGTCTTCTCTGTATCTTTTTGGGCACACTGTGGACACGAGACAGCGTCTCGTTAACCGTTAACCCTCTGAAGCTTCAAGGTCTTGTAAACATGAATAGAAAGGTGGTGCAGTGCGGGGCAGTGCAGAATATTCCGAGCGCCGTTCTCTGTACCTCTTTTGAGGCCGAGTTATACGGGGCACCCCAGGAAAGTACCAGGTATTTTACATGGAGCAAACATTAATAATAATAACTGAACATTTTATGTTCTTTAACGACCCTCTAAATACCTAGACTGTATAGCATTGGGATAAATATAAAAGCTATCCCGTGCTTAATTAAGTACCCCCCCCCATGAAGATGTGCGGGAGAATGGTGGTATAGCGCCAGGTAATCTTAACCTCGACAGTATATGGAAGTAGAGTGGTCAGCGTCACGCTCTGGCCGTTTTACCCTGGGAGAAAAAGCCCTCAGTACCCATTGCACGATAGTCTAGGTGGGCCCTAGTATGGGTCTGGACTCTGTGGAGACTAATATCTCTGGTCCCGTAGCCACGTCAATGTACTGTACTCTTACTCGTTTGTTATCAACGAAATTAGGAACGCGAGTGTCAGAGTGGTGTGGGCTTTCAGTGGGCAAGGACACCGCCTATCTTCACTGGGATTTGTTTCGCGGATTTCCTCAGTCCCTCCACGCAAATGCTGCAATAGTACCTCTGTTAGGCCACTACCGCTTCCTTTCTCGACTTCTCCTCTCTCATCCTCTCCTCTACTACCCTCCAAAATGTAAACAAAGAACGTACGTCAGTTATGTGCGCTGATCCTCTGCTGTGCTCTGCACACTGCGTCTGTACACCGACTGCCAGCGGTAAACTCTGTAAACATGGTGGTAGGGGACGAGTGCGCATCTTTCTGCACCCCTGATGTACCGGAAGGGTTGGGGTGGGTACCTCCCGAATACAAACCAGAAACGTTGCCGCTACATTAACTTGCTACTTGCAACGTTTTATAATATAATGTCTTTGGAGTGGACTTTATGATTTTAATTCCAAAAATTATAAATAAAATATTTTACCACTGATGCAAGAAATTCTAAACACGATAGACTTTTTTCTTTTCGAAAGGCACTAGCCGCCACGGACAATGTTTAGTTCTTCTGTTTGCCGCTACGTTTCGCTACCGTTTACTACCCCTATCGCAAGTCAGTCGGACGCGTCGGACGGGTCGGACGTGCAGTCATAGTGAAGCTTCTGAGGGTTACACTGCAAGGCAGGATGACGGAACACGGATTTTGGGGTGAGTACGCATTCAAACATAGTTCCTTTATGGCGCATGGGGTTGCAACTTTTGTTTCAGTTTCAGAATGTTATGTTAAGAAGGCCTGTTCTCGTAGCGTTTCGTTTATATATTTATGGTATTTCGTAATACGTGGAAAATTTGTTTAATTTTTGTGTACTCTTTATATCCCTATGTCTTAGTTCTTGATCAGCATCGCGTTTACTTTCTTAACCATTTTTTTAGAAGTCCTCCTGCGTAATATTCGCAAATTCCGTTTCTACCCACCTCACAGGAAACACATTACGTCTCCGCTACAAAGCCCAACCGGTTAATGTTGTTTAGGGAAACAGTCGCTGTTTATTGTGAGAACCATAAGGAACACACACATATACACTTTGTGGGCAGAATGTAGGGTTTCTTTTAACGTATCTGAAGTTGTACGTTTATTAACCCCAATACTTTTAGAGGATTAAAATACCGATTTGACTGCCATAACCTGATAATCGTGTGCCCCGTTTCTTTTCATTAGCCCTGTAGCACTCGTTTCATGGTGTACTACCCCATAGCAGTGAGCGAGATACGAGGGTCTCAAATTGGTGAGTCAGAATTACAGCCCTCTGCAATGTGACCCAGCCTGTTACATAGATATTTGTCGACGTTTCAGAGGAACATGCTACGTCACTACTGCAGGACATTGCTATCTGTCCGTCTACGTGGCGCCACATCCCAGAGAACGGTCTTTATATTAACATATTTCCTCCTTCACTTGACCCGTGTACGCACACTACAGCCTTCAGTGCAGCTTCACATGTTACGGGCTGAATCACCACTTAGCCCTTGCTTTCATGTAAATTTAACGGCAGGTTTCGGCCACGCAAGGTCATAGGTGTATATGGTGACTCGCTTAAGTTGATATATTGTCGTACGGTATTACATAGACGAGGCATGTCCAACGCGTCGATCGCGGGACGATTTTTGGTCGATCTCATGGGCCTATAAGGAAATTACACGTGAAAAGAATGTAGATTCACTTATAATATGATTATATTCAGATTTTGAAGGGGAAATACGTATTAAACTAGTCTCTACTTTTAGTGTGTGTTGCTTTTACAACAAACATCATGTGTCGTATTATTTTTACCAATATTTTTGCTTAAAGCGAGGTACGAGGTAGATCACTGGCAGTTTTGACACTTAAAAGTCGATCACAACCTGTTTGAAGTTGGACATCCTGACATAGACCACGATGGCTGTACGTCCAAAAAATTCCTAAAAGTTTTATGCATTTAAAATGACGTTTGCCGTTTGTGCGCCGCAGCAGCAACGCATATATACAATATAATTTTCCCTCCGTTTCGAAACCCGTTATTTTATCGATTTTTTATAATTACGCCGATTTTTGTTTTGTTTCCATCTCTTACATTTCTGGCTATAGATTCACTTCCCATGTTTAATGTAGTAAGCGCTAGCAGTTCAACCGGAGCCCCCACTCACGTATATGTAATGTGATTGTTGGGCCCTTCATTGAAAGTTCTTTGAAGCTTCCAGTACAAGTAACGGTCGCTCAGGATTCCCGAGCTACTGGACCTTGTCCATGGTCCGGTGAGGGCCGTAATTGGTCCCAAACGACACACGGATGGGCAAAGTACAGGGCAGCGTCGCCAGGACCCCTTAGAAGCGAAGGGCATGCGCGCCGTGCACTTGGGCAGAATTCGGTCGAATTTTCGGAGGAATATATTCTAAAGGCTTCTGACGATCGCGTATAACACTCGGAAATATATTTTTTTTTGGACTTCGTCCATTGTCCGGAAGTCTAGAAACTAGAAAACACAACGTTTCGAAAACTTGATCTGTTTCCGTCCTCAGGTGAGGTCCAGTGATTGAAGTTAAATCTTTATGAGGGACCGAAAAGATCAGGCGTCTCTAACCCCCTGTACCTGAGGATGGAAACAGCTCCAGTTTCCGAAACTCTGTGTTCCCTAGTTTCTAGAATACCGGACGATGGACAAAGTCTAAAATCCCAGTTTCGGATGAATGTACCGTCGCTGTGCTCATATACGAAGAGGAAGCCAACAGAGTCACTTAACTGTGGGTCACACGTGTCCAGTATAAAGCCATTTTGACGTTCTTCTTTTTATAACATGTGTAGGTATGTCCCTTGCTTACTTATGGAGCTGAGCCCCTCTGGAGGAGCCGCCAAATCTGCAGCCACTCAGCAATTTCCCAGCATTTTATGGAACCCGAAGGTTCATTACCGTGTTCACAAGAGCCCTCCACTGGTCCTTATCCTGAGCCAGATCAATCCAATCCATACCATCCCATCCTATCTCTCCAAGATCAATTTTAGTATTGTCCACCCACCCACGCCTTGGTCTTCTCAGTGGTCTCTTTCCATCTGGTTTTCCTACCAATATCCTATATGCATTCCTCGTATCCCCCATTCGTGCTACATGTCCTGCCCACCTCATTCTCCTTGAATAGCTATTATATCAATGTAATTTAAATTTTGGTGAATATAAAAAGCCGCGTGGAGAGATCTAGGCACAGATGGAATGATAATACAGTCAAATGTAGTTACAGCACCAACCTCTTTCCACCGCCGATATCGGAGTTAAAGCGGGGATATCTACACTGCAAATTCTTAGGATAGGACCGTATTTAAGGGCGCTTTCAATAGCGAAATTATGAAGCGCCGAATAGTAAGAGAATAAAGGATTTGGGAAAGATTCGGAAGCAAGCGGTGGTGGCTTAATATCGCAGCAGTTATCTCGAAGGGCTGGGGAAAATCGTGAAAGGAACTCCCTCAGAATAGCTGGTGTTCCATTCGAGATTCGAATTCAGTGCCTCCCAAATACGAGTCTCTAACGCTGCCGGTACTCCAGGCTGTTCTGGTGTGTTTGCGTTTGGGTGCACGTGTCCGTATCAGAAGGGAATGCGGGGGCGGTCCGCTGTAGTTGGGATCTTCAGGGGAGAGGTTGAGGCAGGCATGTACATACATACATACATCTTGCGTATGTAGAATTCTGTGCTTCCTACTTGTTCGCAAGGACTGAGGCCTTCAGGGCGATGAAGATTCCAGATATGATTTTATGGCTCTTGACGCCGTGACATCTAACGGGTTGGAGTAGCGGTAAAACCTTGCTCACCTGTTCGTGAGATGGCTCCGTTCAAGCGGCGGCCAGAATGATTGCTGGTGTTCATGTGTTTCCTCAACCCCTCCAGACAAACGCCACTACAGTACCTTGACCGCCACGATCACTTACTGATATAGTCATTTCAAATGAACCATTTTCTACTGATGGCTGGGCAGTTTAGTCATATACGAAAAGTTTCATATGTCATCAAGGCTTGGGTTATAATAATCTTTCCTCGTAACGTACTGAAATAATTTATTTTAAAAACAATCCCAAAGGCATGAGAGACGTGACGGTTCAGTAATCGAGAAATGTTGATGACCATATAATAACCCGTTACGAGGAATGGTGACCCATTTTTTTTTTCAGAATATAATAGTGAGTTTTAATGTAACTTTAAATTCTGACCTTTGGGATTTTAGGAAGAAGAAAAGTTTACCAACAGAATAGACTTTTCGAATATCGGAGACTAATTTTGGGAGTGTAATTGACTCACGGAAATTACAGTGAGTTTAGTGTTAAGTGGTACAGTGGTCTACGTGAGGGGCACGTGATGCTCTAGTGCAAGTATTGTAATTAGCCGCCTGCTTCTTGCTGATTTTATGCTTGGGCTGCGCTTCCACCCTTAAAGACGCAAGGCGGTATTTCATTCCGAAACGCCGGTGCACTTCTAACGGACCACAAAGCTTTAAGTGCTTTGATTTTTAAGGGACGTTTTGTATGTTAAGGGCTGAATGTCTGCCAGGTGTAGTTTAAAGACACTGAAATATTCTGTAGATGGTTCTGTAACGAACGTATATTGAAACGCTTGTGAAATGTTTCTACTAATAACTCATTGTATATTGTAGGGCCGAATACTATAACATAAATACCATAAACAAGAACACAGAAACAGTAATATGTTGATGTATCATCACCAGAAGGCATGACCAAGTCATAAGAAAAAGGTAGTTAATAAATGTTTTGAAATTGTGTCGAAGTTCAAACCTCTGGAACGACAGTAACAAACCTAAATTTAATTCATGAGGAAACTAAGAGGAGATTAAACTCGGGTAATGCTTGCTGCCATTCAGTTCACAACCTTCTCTCATCGACTCTCTAAAAAGATAAAAAATTAAAATATACGAAACAGTAATTTTTTCTGTAGTTTTGTATGGGCGTTAACACTTGCTCTCTTGACATTAAGGGAGGAAAATAGACTTAGGGTGTTTGAGAATAGGTTGCTGAGGAAAATATTTGAACCGAACAAGGATGAAAGGGTAGGTTGATGAAAATTGCGTAATGGGGAGCTTCATAACTTGTACTGTTCGCCAAGGAGGATGAGGTGGGCAGGGCATTGTCCCAAGCATGAGGGGTGAGAGGAATGCATATAGTATTTTGGTTGGGAAGCCAGAAGGAAAGAGACCACTAGGAAGACATAGACGTGAGAAGATAATATTAAATAGATGTTATAGAAATAGAATGGGGTGATATGGGCTGGATT